TTCATAGTATTTTTCGTACATCTGCCGCTTGCTTTTCCTGTTATATCATTACATCAGTAGCCTATCACTATTTTGATATCGGAGGGTGCACAAGCAGTAGAACTTGGCCGGATTAAAACTCACAGATAACAAACAACGCTTGCTTTCCGACAATAAATTTTCTTTTATACCAACTTCGTGACATCTTAATTATGCAGAAAATTACTGATTATTGTTACCAAAGTCTAATGAAAGTCGATTTTGAAGATAAATTTCCAATCAATGGACGACTGAAGGGCATTAGATTACGATAGAGCTTAAACGTATGGTTGTCTTCATTGACATTGGGGTAAACGTGCTACTAATTGCTATATAGTCATTTGATGCCGTCAAGCGCGTGGAAGATGCCATTTCGATCACACACCGAGCTGACCAGGCCTTCCATATCTCGGAGGCAGGGAAATTCGTGAGAGACTCATCTGGCCAGCTCAACGTGACATACAAGATTTGTGAAGAATATGCGGAAGCCTCCAAACTATCCAAGATTTTGAGGAATTATTTGGACTGCTACAATCAAGTGATTATTGGAGGTCGAATCCTTCCCTAGCACTGCACTCTACTGCAGTTCGGTGTTGTGAAAATAGAATGATTTTAAAGTCTCCATATTGCCGACAACGTGTTTTGCGGCGACAAAATATTTGCATACGATTAGACGGCTAACCAAGCCTATAAACAGGAGCTGTAGCACAGTGAATAGTCCTGGTGAATACGTACCTTCCGCCGCTATATCCCACAGGACAAGACTACGGATTCAAGTTTTCCAGGTTGAACACATGAGATATCTAAATTCACAGAAGTTTGTATATACTGAGAACGATCCTACATTACCAGTTATGCACAGAGAATCACGCAGTGATCACCTGTTACCCGCGTCAACTGGTCCCGTTGATCCTCGAGCGGCTCGAGCGGACGCCTGTAAATCCTCCATTTCTCCCTATTGCGCGTGTGAGTAGCCAAGTGCCCTCTGCTTGCTTTAGAGACTCGTCGAGCATCATATCTTTCTTCTACAGTTTCCGTGAAGAACTCCGACCATAGGAACGGTGGTGCTCTTGCTGTAGGCTTGACATCTCGAGGAATGCAGTCATCAGCGACTTTTGTCCATCGGTTGTCGTTCACACGCATTACGTGTCCGGCCCACCTTCTCCTCCATAGTTTGGCTTACAGAACGGCTTCTTTGATTTTTGACAACTATGCAAAGTATACAACACATCTCAGGCACTCTGTGATTCGTCGGTTTCTGATCGTTGGTAAACACAAATGGAACGTGTTTGACTTGTGTTACGTATGCTCCAGTTTATCATCAAGCGGTTTAAGCGGGCTGCCGTAAATCACTATCTGTTACTGACACATGTAGGAGTATCCAAGTGAGATTACCTATAACTAGGAACTCAGTAACCATCACACTTTAGTTTTAGGCTCTTCATAGAGCACTCCGATTATCACGTTGTGAGGTCTTCTGCAGTAGGCTATCGGTTTTATCTGAGGCACTTCATGTACTTGGCCACCCTAATCTTCAACATCTTGCCATGCGTCTTTTATCATTGACAGTTGCCGAAGGTTAGTTGGAATATTGGGTTCTCTCTTCCACTCAGGCAATACATATTACTCCCATCATTACCACGTGAGTGCACTGATTCTGTTTAGATAAGTAAAAACCCTATTTGAATAGAAAGATTTCTGTTGAAATGCTGTCGTGTTTAATGTACCTTGTTTCATTGATAAGCTAGCATGACATTGTTACCAATATTTGCACTGTTAACCTAATGACGTCTTCGCCTTCCTCGGAGCCGATGATCAGGGTCGATGTCCACAGTCGTTCCTCTTCTCGATGTCATCTCTTCGTCGCGCATCGAGCCGGGTCATCTTTAGTGGAACATCTCTCGAGTGAGCCATACTCTGCCAGAGACCCTTATGTGCCGAATTTTTCTTACTGATAGTTTTGATTACCGGGTGATAGCAACTTGTTTATCCGGACAATCAATCCGGGTGTCATGTTACATATACTACGTATATCTATAATACGCAATATTACGTCGTTACGTAATATTATTCATTGCAGGAAAGTAATAAGGAATTTTCCAGGAACTTTTTCAGCAGCTCACCTGCACCAGCAGCCCTTCTGTAATTCTTATGCATTACTCTGTATAAGATAATTGCTCCTACTCCAGGTACAACTGTCAAGCCATGGAAAATTCAAGACATTTGAAATAATTCACTGCTAGAGAGACATATCAGGTTGCGCTTGACTGATTGATTTTTGATTTCGATTGTAAATTTTGATGTTGTTTGTTTGATTGACTGAATGTTTGATTTTAAATGTAAATTTTACATAGACATAACTTTTTCACACTTCCTCAATAAGTACCATTAGAATCAGCACATTTTCTCCAAAAAGAAACAAGTTTATATATTCTTGTTTTTTAAAATTCTGCAGTTGGCGATGAATTCGGTGAAGGCATTTTTTGCGTTATCGTGGTTGGCGAAGCATAAGAAGTGATAGTCGGTAGGCGAGAGATCTGGTGAATACGCAGGATGAGGCAAAGTTTCGTAGCCCAACTCGTACAACTTTTGCTTTTGCTTTTGGTTGCACAACGTGAGGTTGGGCGTTGTTTTGAAGAAGGATTATTCAATTTCTGTTGACTAACGCTGGTCGTCGTTACTGAAGTTTACGGTGCATTTCGTCGAGCTGTTGGCAATACTTCTCTGCCATAATCATTTCGCCTGGACGCAGTTTTGGTTTTGAGAAGTGCTGGGGAGCCTGATCGCAATCTAACCACTGAGCTGAACGTTGCCGGTTGTCGTACAGAAACCACTTCTCGTCGCACATCACAATTTCATCAAGAAAAGGGTCATTTTTGTTGTGCAGAATAAGAACAGACTTCACTTCAAAACAGTGATTCGTTTAATTCGTGCGGCTCTCACTTGTCGAGTTTTTTGTCCTTCTTATGCGATTCAATTGAGTGGAAATTGTTTCTGTGCTCACGCCAAGCTGTTCGGCAAACTCTCGAACAGTTACACGCGTGTATGCTTCCACTAGTGCCTTCAATTCTTCGTCCTCAAGTTCACTGGGACGTCTGCGCCTTCTTTAACTTCGAGGTCGAAATCACCAGATAGGAATTTCCGGAAGCAATTTTGCATTGTTGATTCGCCAACGCTACCTTCACCCCAAGCTTGATGATATTCCGAGCTCCTACTGCGGCATAATGTTCTCTCTTCCACTTTTACAAAAAAGGACACGAATATGGCATTGATACATACTAAAGTTAAAGACTATAAAAATCTTAAAATAGCAACTCTTAAAAAGACCAATGCTCGATGTAGAGAAAGCAGGCTTTGTGCTTCAAAAACATATGTTAAACGTACAACTGGAACAAAATTTTTGTTCAAAAATTACACAGAAAATTAAAAGAATAAAATCGAACACTTTATATATATTGAACTAATAACTCTTCTGTTATGTGCCCTTCTTCCTTGGTACATATGGAAGATGTTACTACTTTAATGAATTTTTAAGCCCAACTATAAAAATTTGCGCTATTTTTTTGAAGCGCAGTTCCCTTTTGTTGCTGATGCCAGTAAAGAATTATCGCTTAAATCATACATTACCGTATGATCAAGCGATTATAGAGAACATACGTAAAAACAGACTAGGATACGATACTATAATAATGCTTATGATACACTATCGTGTGCTTTTATAAATCAATGACCCGTCTTCCTATATCCAGTAGACTATGGCACTTCATCCATTTGATTCGCTTAGCCACTTAACAGCCATCCACGGAGGTGGGAATTTCACATGTGACTTCCGCTTGATTTGGGATTCTCAAATTTGATTCCAGCGGTAGACATAGCCGATCTGAGGGGCACAACAATGAGTGCAATAGAGCACAACGGCCTCCCTTCTCGGTGGTTTCTCTTGAGGTTGTTGCAATTCTTTCGGGCTGAACTTTGTTGTTCTCTTCATTCACAGCACAACCAAATCATTAGTAGTTATTTCTTAAGAAGTATTCTGTTCACTTCCGAATACGAGACTTTCTTCGAAGATTTTGACAACGAAAACTGATTTAGTGTTGAGTGTTCTGCTTCATTTCGAATAACTTTGCTCGAGTGCCTTGTGTTGCATCTATAGCTTTTACTGTATTTTTCAAGGATCAGTTCCTGTTTCTATTCCACAGAGCAGGAAAACCGCTACGTCAAATAAGTAAGCGCGTCAGTCGGAAGTAAGTTGATCATTGGCCTTTGTCAGAGCCACGTCAGCGGCTCAAATTGCTCGTCGTCTTCTATCGAAATCATCGCTCAAATCGCTATCCATATTCAGTGAACGTACCAGGTATGCAGACTATGTCGTCTTGCTGAATCGTGCAGAATAATCTTTTCCATTTTCTATCTAGCGTAATTCGTGAATGACGTGATAATACAATAGTATGATCCTAAGATCGTAGTGATTACATTAGTATGACATATAATTAGTTATTTGGATACTTGGATGGCCCTCCTCACTGATTGTGCAGCTCTTAGCAAAATTTCTATTTTTTCGGAGTCTAGCTGGTTTTATCCATTGTGGTTCGCTGGAGTCCCTTGGTCAGGCTGGTCAAAATCTGCCCCAGGTCGTCACCACCACAGGCAGTTTGCCACCATGCGACTAGTTCGATACCAGCACGGTGGTGGACCTTAGTATTGGTTTATTCGCAGCTGTGCTTTCTTATGACGCCGGACTCCTTAACTTGGGAGACGCTGCCAGGGAGACAAAGCTCCCCTCTGTACATCTCACCCAAGAACATCTGTCAGCCATGATTAGGCGGTAAGCCGTTGGGAGAAGTATGACATATATATCATAATGCGATCTGTCAACATACTACACTACCGCATAAATAACATCAACTTGTCATAAAGATTACTAACGCTTCTATTGATTTATGCTCTCAATTCGATAAATTATTTGTTTAAGGATCATATTAATGGAATCATCCGACATTACCTTAATTCCACCCATCAATTTCTATCTCTTTGGCGGGCTATCAATCATTTTCAACAGCACTTTAATCTACGTGCTGCTCAAACGTTCACTGACATCTATTGGTACATACAAATACTTGATGATCGCCTCATCTTTCCTGGATGCTTTATACAGCTTTACAAGTATTTTTGCTCTTCCGGTAGGTTTACAATTCTTCTTATTGAACAAATAGAAGTACCACAATAGCACATGGAATTATCGAAGAGACTGGACGTGCCCCGCTTTAAAAGGTCTCGGCCATTTCAAAAAGGCGTGAAATTCTCATAAATAAGCAAGAAGACAACGCAAAGTCTTACTGTAGTACAACGTTAGAAGTTCTTTCAAAGCAAGAAACCTCATCTTAATAGGGTTTCGTACCTGTTTTGAATCGTCTAACTGCATCAATCTGAGTCCATCCATTAATCGAGAGAGTCGTGTTCATCCTGTAATGACACTAATCGATATATATATATATATGTGTATACATATTTTATACATCTTTATCTAATTGTTCGATTTTAGACAATAGTCACTGTGAGCCAAATGGAATCAGTGCTGATCATCGGTAATGGTTTCCTTTTACCACAAATCACCGTAGTTGCCGTCATTTTATTTCTCTTTCTGCTTTACCAGTCAATCCTGATTCCGCCGTGTTTATTTGCCTTCCGTTATCTACAAATATGCAAGTGAGGTGGTAAACGTTGTTGTTTTTTATTCACATTTTACGTTTTCCAGTTACCAATGTGAGCTTTTGGTATGAATGCTTAACTATTTGAGGCCAATGTGTTTAAAGTTAAATAAGAACATAAGAAAACCATTTCAAAAAGCGGTGCAACAGTAATAAGCCTACTTATCTCAGGACTTCTCTAGTTTGGCCCACTTTCAATCGTTTGCTGAATATAACTACTTTCTATTTTTTAAATTTTCATGTGTGTTTTCGTGGGCACGTGTAGCGCAGTGGTTGGAGGCGCCACCGCGACACACGCGTGGAATCGATCCACGCGCCCATGGCCCACCAAGCCTTTCATCCCTCAGGGGTCGGTAAATTGGTACCACACCTGTCTGGGAGGATAGCAGCACTGGCTCGATACATCGGTAGACCATATCGAGTCATTGTAAAGGCCAGATATGCATTCAATCACCTCCAAACGATGCTTAATGAAGTCGAATGCATGGCGCATCCGTCAGAGATTGATCAACGATGAGAGCATTAGAGCCTTATCATGTGTGTTTTCGCGTCTATTTTATCCTAAACCATTCTGTTTTCCACTGTTTTTCACTTTTTTCCCAACATTTAAGGCCGACATTCCTGGTACATCACAACGGTCGGCTTCGCTATCTTCTCATTATTCCAACAGTTATTGCAACGACGATGTGTTGTCAGTTCTGTATTGCCTCATGGCCTACTCCGTTTGATCGGAATGTCTTTGATAAACTTGTTATCAATATCACAGAAGCAAGAGAGCCGATATTTTTCATTGCCTCTCTTAGTGTGAGCACAATTTTATAACAATTTAAAATTGGGCAGTCCACAAGAGATCTTGATTTGGTTCGTAATAACTTTGAACGGTTTCTTAATAAGTTTGATTTCATTCATATCAATACAACTTTTTGTTTTCTTTGCTAGCTTGTCAGTCATCAAAAAGTTAATGAAATTCATCTGTATCACCCCAATATAGTTAACCGTAGAGCGCTACTCAATCGCAGTAAACAAGTGAAATCTCATTCCAACTGTCTATTTCTCCTATGCGTCAGAGATCACCTGATGAGCTTTGTTTTTTGAGCTCCAGTCACAGAGAGTATTGCAATTTTCTATGAGGTCTTTTGCTTTTTCCTGTTTTCGCGAGCTTAAAATTGATTGATGAGCTTTGCTGTAGAGCGCGTATTCTCATAGTTGATTCCTAATAGAAATGGCAAGTTTGCATGCTTTGGAAGGGTGCCCATGCCTAAAGATAACCTCATTGTTGCGTCTCGAAAACAAGGAACACCAATTTCTCGTGGTTTTCTTACAAGCAATTGTAGAGAGAGTGACTTGGGAAACTTTCGGTGAACATTTCACAAAACTAAAAAAAGTCTAAGGAAAAAGGCAACATGTAGGGGCAAGAAAGAACAGATATTTTACACAAGTACTCTTCGCAGAGTGCATAAATCAGAGCTGAGAAATTCCTTTGAAAAGCATGGCATTCACTTGTAATGGGGAGCAAAAAGTTACACAAAAAGGACTAAACAAGTAAAAGTTAGAGAGCAAGGGCCTCTGTGGCGCAGTGTGTAATACGGGAACCCCTCGAAAGGGAAATCGTGGTTCGATCTGGACAGGAGTCCAAGTTTTGTGAATATCTCAACATCATTAAGGTTAAAAAGTTGCTCTTGCATAATCAGCGTCGGATCCGTAAATTCATTTTCTTGCACATGTTTTAATAATAGGTTTTTTCCACATGTTGTCGAATGTCATTGCAAAGTTCATTTTATCTACTTTCGTTCCCTGTAACCGATTCGCAATACAAACCATGCTCTTGGCAAATTTAAAGGTTGGAATTTTACAAGTCAAAATAGCAACTTCCACAAATTTACTACGAATTCGAACTCGATGGTGCGCAGAGCAAAGGCTCGAAACACCATTGGGGCATGGAGCTAAGAAAGGAATTGGACGGAAATTGAAGATGAAGAGATTTGCGGACGTAGTTCTCTCACTGACGGGACTGATCAAAGGCTTTCATGGAAACCGATACGCTTGCATTTGTTCGAGGACATGCAGGAGAACTCAGCGCTAGTATTTGAACTGTTTCGGTGCATTTGGAGAAAATTGAGAAGCCGAAAAAGTTCGACAAGTGGTTGCTGTTCTACAAGTGGAAGTCGTAGCGTTCAATGGTCACCACAATTTTCCATAATAACACTTTACCACACGTTGCGCAACCGATCCAGTAAAGGTTGAACGAGGTGGGCTACCAAACGCTGCCTCATCGACAATATCCTATGCTATCTTCAACAACTTCATTGCCCCCACAAGCTTGAAATTTTATAAAAAAGATATAGCTAAACTTGTTTTTGTTGCCAAAATTGTTTAGATTCTAGTGCTTTCTCTTCCATTTAATAATTTTGTTGTGACTACTCATATCCCACTCTAGAAATTATGGGTTGGAATCAGCGAATAATTTCCGAAAGGTCTAACAAGAAGATCATTTCTAGAAACCACACTAACCAGGTTGAAAAAAATTTTTTATTTTATCTGACCCGCCTTCACATCTACTGTGCGGATCCTAGCATTTCTCACATTCAATTCGTTTCGTCGCATCCATTATCCGTGAAGACCTTCCAACTTCTACGTGTGAGCTTCGGCTGCTATTTGAGGATTTTCATTTCATCTCGAGTGTCGTTGAATGCTGGTCGAGTTGGTTCTTCCTGGAATCTTGAGATAACCGGGCTGGAGCGGTCCCATTTGGATTGTAGAGAGTGATTTTTTCCCACACAAGTTCGGTACCAGTCTCCCAACCCCGGAGGAATAAAAGGCTTGGTTGGCCCGGAGCGGAATTGAACTAGCACCATGCTTTTGATGACGGGCATTGCTATCACTGTGATATCCGCTCCTTGACTAGGTGCAAATTTTTTAACATTGACAATGATAATGAAAGTTTTAAGTAGTAAGTGGTATAATTTAATGCATTCTATATTTCAGTCAAATGGTGATGACTATGACGACCACCAGAGTGTCTTGTTGGCCATCTTCGCAGTGATTGTAACTTCGTCAATGGTTTTCTCACTGATTGTTATGCTGTTTTGTACTCGATCTATAATGAAGGAGTTACTACAGCCCGATTGCTCACTTAACCGTCGCCTACAAATTCAACTCTGCAACAGTCTTCGTATACAGGTACGAAGTCGATAGAACATTGAATTATCCTGACACATCCTCCTCTATCCATCAGTGATGGTATTCGTGGGAATTGGTACCGTCTTAAAACAATCCTAGTTCCATGATTAACATTTTATTTGCTGCCTACTAAAATTATTTACGACAGGGTATTATACGAAATTTCATACAATACTCTGTCGTAAACTTGGCAGTAAATGAAAAGTTAACGTTTTGATTTCGACCAGAGCTTCAGGTTAAGTTGACAAATCCAAAAAGTGAGTACAATGCCGACTTGTGCTTCCAGAACAATGTCGTTGACGAGTGATTGCCGATAGCACCTATAAAACACCGCTGTGAGAACGGCGAATCGAAGGACCCTCATGGTACGGTGGTGAACACGTTAATCCCCAGCAACGGTAATAGCGTGTTCGTTCCCCACCGCAGACACCTGCAGCCCGGAGTTTTGCAAATACCTAGTCGTAGGATAGAAAGACTTTGACAAATCCAAAAACCGTGGCGCCTACTTATGATGAAAACCTGGAGACGCAACCCTACGGCTGTGTGGCGACCTAGGGTAAGACCAACTTTCCAGTATGTTGGCAGGATTCGTGAAGATGTGCAGCCATTCAAATGTCCGTACCACTTTAGTCCTAGGATCTTAGAGGAGATATAGCACGTAGTTGCCGATAAAGCCAATGACTGGCGATTGCACAGCGGCGTAAAAGTCGGTGTTGCTATTCTCCTAGATAAATCTAATACCAGTTCACCAACCCAGGCGAGATGGAGAGTTTATTGAGCGAGGACTGTGGGATCAAAGAAATCATCAGGCTACACGTTTCTTCTCTTTTGTGTAGAACCTGAAGATCGGACATACATTCCAATTTTTCAATTGTAGCATGAAGAATTAATAGAAAAGAAAACTGAAAATGGACCATCGATTCGGATCACCGGCTCTGTGGAAGACGAAACCGTCGAAACGTTAGCCAGAAATAAACACTATTTATCAACCTCGTGTAAGCTTATCAAAGAAAGAATACATATTGATTAGTTATACTGAGGTTAAAGGAAAGTCGCTTTTGAAAAAACTGAAAGTATTTTTAATCTAAGAACATGATGCTGCTTTTTAGTCTGGTGTTCCGTTCATCTTCGTTCACATTCCGTTCTACGTTTGCATTCTCGCTCCTCTGATGAACATCACTGTTGGTCTTTTTAACACTTATCTGCCATATCTGTTTGCTTTGTATCCAGTCCTAAATCCACTCATCGTTTTTTATTTTGTTGCAGACATTCGTAACTATGTTGTACAAAAATTGAAAATAATAAGTTGCTTGAACAGATCGCAAGTTCATGCACTAAAACTAACCGCCAGTAGCCGAAAATGATGACAAAACCCCAAAATTATTAGACATGCATAAATAAATGCGAAGGGTCACCGTTGTCCGTGGGATGTGACGATAGCCTATGCTGACGACTTGGGAAAGCTTAGTACCCTGTAGCCTTAGTATTCAGCGACAGAAAATCTTGCCCGAGCAGCAATTTACCCGTTAAATTTTATGGATCAAGCAATTTAAAGGCATTCGAACTCCCATTTGTTCGTTTGGTACTCCGGCGCTACCAATGGGCCCAGCTCTTTCGAAAAAAACCAAGAACATCACATTTTTGGTGCGAGTCCATTTTTACTCTGGGAATCTTCCCATGATGTAGATCTAGACTTAGGTGGTGTTCTGGACGGAAATAATGAAACGTTTTCCCACCTCGCTGTTTAGGTACTTCATGTTTGGAAAAACTTTAGTGCACAATTGTTCATTCATTCTGCTATGTTTTTGACTTGTATTTTTGTAAACATCCATTCTGCGCCTTGTTTCATTAAATGATTAGTGCACTGCTTGAATCTGATTTCCCACTTTTTTAAATCGCCAGGAATCGCTGCACTTCCGGAAGAATGCTAGTCACTAAGTGGTTAATTCCCTGCTGACTCATATGTGTGGGCGAGCACCTGTGATAAAAACATGGGAAAGCCGTGGAATGGTTGTCTACGGATTTCACTGGATGGTATAAGAGAGGAAAATGAATGGTTGGAGTGTTGAGGATATTCCAAATGTAACGACGACAGTCTTTCTGAGTGTCTAAGTATCATACACTCACATATTGTTTTTCAAAGTGCAACAATGTTATATTTTCTGTGAATGAACGAGAAAAAATCTATGTTGATAAAGAACTATACTTTTATTTACAGATTTTCATACGATATTCTTGTAAGCTGGTATGAGGAATGTTGACATAAGTCTATTAACCATCTAAGCAGAATGTTGTTGCTTGTTAGCTAAACGTTCGTATGCGTCTACTGTTCATTCACGACGACATTTTTACTCCAGAGGTAATCCGTCAACCGATTAACCAAAATAGATGTTTCTGCTTCACAGCAGCAGGGTGTTCTTATACATATATTCGTTATCGTTTGCTGATTGAACCTCCGTCGATGTAGTGAAGGAGAAACTTGAGGACGGCCGCGTTGTGACCTGGTCACTGCCCTACTTACCAAACAACTATACACACCCACATCACCAGATTGACTTGATTGTTTCTAACGTCATGATAGATGTCTGAGGCAGACATATAAAAAGCTGATAAGGGATTGATTTGCTGATTATAAATTACCTAAATTGTTCACATAAGACGATGGAAGGAAAACACAACTATTTAAGAAATATTTGCAAATCTCCGGATCACAGATGTCTGCAGTGGGAATGAACGCGCTATTATACTTTCCGGAGGCTAATGCGTTCACCTGTTAGAACTAGCTGAGAGACCGGCGAAACGAAGGACCTGCATGGTTTGATAGTAAACGCATTAATCCGCGTAAAGGGTAGTAGTGCGTTCGTTCCTCCACCGCAGACATACAGGCCGGAGTTTCGCAAATATCTCAGGGTCATTGTGGTTATACCACACGTAATAGACTACCGTAAAAAACTCTATTAGGCAGTAAATAAAAGTTAACACTATTTAAAACATGTTTTACAAAATAAAATTGACTAAGTATGTAATATGGTTAAAATAAGGAATAAGGTGTTAGAGTAAAAACTTATATCACTGCCACTTGTACTTCGGATTTATAATTTTTCTTCTTTATCCGCGACAAAAGTGGTTTTCGAACAACAGTCGATTACTCTCAACTACTAGAATGGAAATGAGTATTTCGCGTACATAGAGAACAGTTTGCTTCATCAATATATATAAACATATGACATGCATATACAAATATAACGAAAAATGGGATGAAGCTTTCGACGTTGATCAGTACCTAACGGATACGCTTTGTATTCGATATCCTTAGGTATCGCTAGAGGTGATTGAATGCACATCTGTACATGTACAATGATTTATGGTTGCCTACCAATGTATCGAGTCGGTACTGCTACCTTCAGCGACAAGGAAGGCAACAATTTGTAGACTCCCACATGTTCCAGTAGACAAAGTGCTGCTTGTTTAGTAGTGCTCTTTTTAGATATATGAGCTCCATAGAAAAAAGCATAAAAAGGGTTTCGTAGCTTGCAGAATGCTAGAATTTTTCGTTGGAATAAGAATGTTTGCATCTGATTGGAACGAGCTGTAATTCTAATAGTTTTAATCTTAATTAGTAAAGTCCAATACGAGCTGAGTATGCCAGTTTAACTTCTAAAGTGGCCATTAATTTCAGACTGTCCCCTTATGAAGTAGGGCCACGTTGCTACCTGTGCCTTAAGAATTTCTTAGAAGGTTGAATTTATTGATACGTTTGGCTTTCAAGTAATGTTTTATAAGGTTAATATGTCTTTTGCGATATAATAAAGTATTGAACTTAGCGAAAAACGGTACAGAATGCACCAAAACCATGTTAAATTATATTACGGCGTATAAGAATAGCCTAGAAATGTTATCCTATCATGGTACCTTTCAAGTATTTTATGTGATTACGAGCAGTCCCGCACGTAACATCACGGTGAGTGGCCTTTCTGTTCAATATGGCGTCTATTTGAAAGTTTGATCTTCATTAATACTTTAACCTTCTTTTCCACCGAATAATAAAAATATTCTAATATTAAATACGTCCAGGCTCTGAGGAAGGCGAAGTCGCCGAAACGTCGGCCATCGAACAATAACATCAAAACAACGACAACGACAACGACAACGAAGAACTGTACGAACCTCGCGTCAGCTTAAGAAGATCAGTTTATAAGATCACATAAATAAATATATCAACTATCCATGCCGAGGTTCATAGCAAGTCGGTCTTTCGAGTTATTAAGAGATGTTCCAGCAAAACATTTCCGACTTGTAAGGGACGTATTGTCATTAAGACAGAAAATCGTCTTAATGCGACAAAAGACCTACTTTCTACGCCGCTGCTTAAAACATCGAATTATTCCTAACTTTATAAAACGTAGGAAATTATACGAAGTATGTGGCTTACCGGAGAGCTCTCAACAAATGCTGAGCATCGATATGAAGCTGCTACGCATTTCATTGCGGTGCACACAAAACGAAATGTTTTCTCTATTAAACAAGTGTGCGTACAAAGAAAACCATTGTGCTCAGCATTTGGAGAGAAATCTTTGGAAGAGAATAGTAGCTGGGTCTAAATCGGTATGCGGGAAGATTCGGTGTGATATTAAGAGCAACTTAAGGAAAAAGTTTGAAGATCTGTGACGCCGCTCAAAAAGATCAAATGAAAGGACCACCGCTGGTCAAGTCCCAAGTAAAAGCCCTAAAATAGACTGCGCACCAAGAACATTCAGAGTTACTGTGCTAGGAGGTATAACGCTTCCGGAAAATGTGCGTTCCTTGTTAGAATTGGGTCCGAGTTTTGCACCTAGTCAACCCATTTCTAACCCAATCCTGCGCAGGAACACGTGTAGTCTGCATGAACTTCAAAATCAGCTACATTACAGGGTTAGGCTAGAAAGGTTAGGTAAAGTATTACCAAGGGGGAACTACCACCAATACCCTTTCCCCGAACATTCTTTAAACAAGAGCTACCAAACAGCGATATTGTCCCTACATTTCGGTTATTTTCGAACGAAATTCTCCGCATACTTAATCACAACCAAAAACGAAAAAGAAGCTCCAACCGCACAAACCAACAAAAATGTGGTATGCGCCAGGTTAGAGAGCTTTTGAATTCAAAATCTATTAGACTTTCTATTAGTGATAAAGGCGGAGAATTAGTAGTTCTTCCTAGTCAGTTGGATATTAGGGTAACAGAGGAGCACCTCAGTGATGTTTCTCTCTATCGAACATCCTCTGAAAAGGAATACAGAAATCAATACCGAAAATTGAATCAAAAATGGGTCAGCACGGCAAAGGCCGCGGGTTTAGAGCCTTCAGTTATTTCTCGCCTTGAGAACGAACACCCGATTTGCGCTGTCCTTTACTTGCTTATTAAAACACATAAGCTTACTTCAACTGATGATATTACACCAACGAACCCATCATCACTTAAAGTTAGACCTATCATCAGTTGTATAGGCGGGCCAACGGATAGAATAACGTGGTTCCTAAACCTTATCCTAACACAGCTGCTAAAATTCATTCAAACCCATCTACCTAACACCAAAATATTTCTAGATCACCTAAGGCGCGCGCAACCAAAAAGCACGCATATAATGGAGTCATTCGATGTTAGTTCACTTTATACCAACGTGTCCAATGACTCCGCAATGCAAGCCATTCTCGAGTTCCTCGTAGAGCATGAAAAGAAAATAAAAATGCACGGCTTGTCGATTGCGCAACTAATGACCCTCTTAAAACAGTGTCTTAGTTGTTCAATCTTTAGGTGGTCTGGAAAATATTTTGCACAAATTAGAGGGTTGGCGATGGGGCAGCGTTTAGCATCAAGCCTTGCCATCGCTTTCATGTCTAAGGTGGAAGCTCCAGTTCTCGATCACCGACCCTTACTCTACTATCGATACATAGACGACTGCTTCATCGTCTGTTCCACACAAGAACAGATGGATGACTGCTTTGAATTATTAAACCGACAGTCAGAGTATATAAAATTTACACGAGAAAAACCAACCGAAAACTGCCTTCCATTCTTAAACATCCAAATAAAGCTCTCAGTAAGTGGCTATGTAACAAAATGGTATCGCAAGCCAAGTAGTAAAACATTCCAGTTCACTGCCTCTCTTCTCATCCTTCACACATGAAAAAACCACTTATCAAAAATATGTATCGTACGGCTAAAAATGTGTGCACAGGAGAAGAGGAAAGGAAGGAATCGCGAAACCTGGCACGAAAAATTGCCATTTCCAATGGCTACGAAGTAGAAGCCACTCGGGTTAGAGGAAAACACTGGGTAGTTTCCCAAAATAATATTTCAGACGAAAGTAGGATCCCCTTTAAG